TAAAAAACTTAAAACATGCAGGCCTGGACTAACTGCCCCCCCCCGGCCCCCTTTATTGAAAAACATGTAGCATTGAAAGCAAGTATTCAGGATTCAGACATTTCCATTCTGGTTGGCAGAGCTGGGAACTGGATACAAATTGTGGAGACGATATAGACAGGCAACATGGAGAGGCCTCCCTGCTCTCCGACCCCAGGAAAAAAGGAAGGGGTTCTAAAGATCCAAGCACATGGTGAATTTGTAAAAAAACAAAGTAAGAGATACAGAAGCCATGTTCAGGGAGACTGTCTTCCCATGCTAAACAGCATCAGTTGAGAATATGTTTGGTTCTGGGGTTGATGTCTTCATTTTTTTTTTTAATGTTTATTTGTTTTTGAGAGAGAGAGTGAGCAGGGCAAGGGGAGAGAGAGAGCGAGACAGAGGATCCCGAGCAGGCTCCGTGCTGACAGCAGAGAGCCCAACGCGGGGCTTGAACTCACAAACTTGCTGAAACCAAAAGTCAGACGCTCAAGACGGAGCCACCCAGGCACCCCTGATGTCTTCACTTTGTAGGCATTGGGGAGGGGAGCTGGACACTGATAACTGAAAATAAGAACAAGTTTGTAGGAATATCTGAATCTAAGATATGGAAGCAAGAGACATAACGTTTATATGCTTCTTGATAGAGAAATTCAGCTTTGTAGAGTTTCGCTTAAAGGACAGAGAGGGGCGTCTGGGTGGCTCAGTCGGTTAAGCGTCTGACTTCAGCTCGGGTCATGATCTCACAGTCCGTGAGTTCAAGCCCCGCGTCGGGCTCTGTGCTGACAGCTCAGAGCCTGGAGCCTGCTTTGGATTCTGTGTCTCCCTCTCTCTCTGCCCCACCCCCACTCATGCTCTGTCTCTCTCTGTCTCAAAAATAAATAAAAACATTAAAAAAAATTAAAAAAAAAAAAAGAAGGACAGAGAAAAGAAGAGCAGGAGAAAGGCATACAGGGAGAAGGGGAAAAAGAAGGAGATTCAAAGCATTAATTTTAAAAGGGAAAATTTATGTGTCCCAAAACAAAAGATTGGTTAAATTAATAATGGGGCACCCAAAAACTAGAATACTCTGGTCTTGTAAAATCATGTTGTAGGGGCTCCTGGGTGGCTCAGTGGGTTAAGTGTCCCAACTCTTGATTTCAGTTCAGGTTATGATCTCGGAGTCCGTGGGTTTGTGTCCTGTGTCCGGTTCTGCACCGATGGTGTGGAGTCCACTTGGGATTCTCTCTCTCCTCCTCTGTCCCTCCCCCTTGCGCACATGCACGCACACAAAAAAATTGTTTTAATCATGTCGTGGAAAAATATTTAATGGCTTGGAAAAACTTTATAATATTAAACACATATATGATCTCATTTTTAAAGAGGAAACTATATATGTAATGCAAAAGCAATGGACATCCATCAAAATGTTTTTAATACTTAATACTACAGTGCAAACATTGATCCATGTCATTAAAAATGCCTCATTAACTATCATATATTATGATTGCAGAATATTCCGTGGAAAGCAAGTGCTATCGTGCATTTATCCGTTATCTTCCTGATGGACATTTTGGTCACCTCCAGTTTTTCATAATTTTTATTATTATATAATATTCTGTTCGAAACATCTTTGTGCTTCTCCGATATTTTCAACCTTTGAAAACAACCAATTCTGGAATAGTAAAATCCTTTCATTATTATGAAATCAATGCCTATTATTAATGATGTCTTTAAAAACAATTTTTTTTTTACATTTACTTATTTTTGAGAGACAGAGACAGAGCACACGTGGGGGTGGGGCAGAGAGAGAGGGAGACACAGAATCCGAAGCAGGCTCCAGGCTCCGAGCTGTCAGCACAGAGCCCAACGTGGGGCTCGAACTCACAAACCGTGAGATCGTGACCTGAGCTGAAGTCGGACGCTCAACTGACTGAGCCACCCAGGCGCCCCAATGATATCTTTTTAAACGCTTAAGCTATTTACCAGGTTTTTTTGAGAATGCAGTTTGCAATACAACTTATTTTTATTGTAGTGCAATTTCAATATTTTAAATTCTATACATTAGATTTTCAAAATATAGTGAGGATTTAATTATCTGCATTTATTTTATAACTTCCATTACAAAACGCTTTTCATAAAGTCAGTAAGGTTTTTTCTTTTCCAAGAGAGCTTTGAAGCTCTTTGAAGAAGGCACGCATTGTATTTCTTTGGGATTATAGAGATCTGACTTTTTCTGCCATAGGCCTTGGCCTAAACCCCCCATTCGTGAATATTCTAGGTTGTTGGTTGACAAAATAAAACACTCTGAGATACTAAGATTATATGAACACAAGGTAATTTTTAAATTTTTCTAGGCAAGATCTACGTGGTATCATTTTCTTGTTTTAAAGGAGATAATCCCCAAAATATCCAACCTATTGTTACTCAAACTAAAGCACAGTTATATGTTCCAAGAATAATGTTGATCAGTCTTCCAGTTATTACCATTTAAAAAGTGTTTTTCAAAAAAAAAAAAAGTACTTTTCAGAAACAAGTTAAATTTACAGTGTGGTCAAGGTTATGTAAATACACTTTCCAAAGCCTGTAAACTAAAAAAAAGCCCCAAAATGAAACCAGTGATTACCTCATTCCCTCACCTTCTTATTTTATGAATTTTCCAAATTTTATATAATGTGTATGTATTTTTCATGTAGAAAAATATAATAACATTTATCTTCTAAAAAGTCAACAGGGCAAAGAACATGAAAATATTATTGCACAAGCTTCCTTGACCTGTTCTTCTCATTTCTTTTCTCACTAAAGCTCCCAGAGCAAATCAAATAAAGGATTAGGAATGGCCTGGCCCTCCAAAGAGAATTACTTTTAGATCTCCCTCCATTTCAAACCAGGATTATTTGTCTCCCACCCAGTTGGCAACAATAATAACTAGAATCGCAGCAGTGTTTTTGTGTTTAATCTTGGCCGTCTAGCTGGGCCACTGCTAAATTTTAGTTATTTATTACTCCCCTTACCTCATGCCCCCCAAGTTCACTTACAAGTCAAGGAACAAAATAAATAGGACATGGGGAGACAGCAAAGAATGTTTTCACTTTGAAGTAATATATTTTTTTTAAGTTTATTTGTTTATTTCGAGAGAGACAGAGACAGAGAGAGCACGAGCTGGGGAGGGGCAGAGAGAGAGAAAATCCCAAGCAGTCTCCGCCCTGTCAGTGCAGAACCCCACGCGGGGCTCGAACTCACCAACCGCGAGATCATGACCTGAGCCGAAATCAACAGTCAGACCCTCAACCGACTGAGCCACCCAGGCGCCCCTCAAGTAATATTTCAAACTAATGTCAGGGTGTTTGCTTTACACACATGCCACAAATTGCCTTTGCAAAGAAAGCCTGGGTCAACAATCGCCACCCCTTCGGTTATCATGAGGAATCTTAGGAAACTAACTTTAAGCCGCTTCAACATAGATTATTGTACTAGTTTCAGGCTAATGGGACTGTCAGCTCATCATAAAGCATTTCGAGGCCTTAAAAGCATGAGGTTTGAAGGAGGTACGATCTGGTGTGAAGTCGTACCATTTGGTGCACCTTGTAAGACATATTTACTAGCCTGAGACGCGGTTTTCAGGCTTGTAACCTGGGAGCAAATTGCTGTCTTATAGAGTTGTTATGACATTTCAGTGCAACAGGTTTGAAAACCAGGGAGTAGGGGGGGTGCCTGGGTGGCTCGGTCGGTTGAGCATTCGGCTCAAGTCACGATCTCACAGTTCGTGGGTTTGAACCTCACATCGGTTCTTGGGATTGTCTCCCTCTGTCCACCCACTGTCAACGCTACCAGGTGCCAAGCTCTGCCTCAGATATAAGCAGAGTAACATCATGCACGCTTTCTGTCAAAGCAAAAGGGGGATTGATTCTTATTAAAGATGTCTCAGAGTACACATCTGTACTAGTGAATTTTAGGAAGTGTTAGATAGGGGCCCCTGGGTGGCTCAGTTGGTTGAGCGTCCGACTTCAGCTCAGGTCACGATCTCGCCGTTCACGAGTTCGAGCCGCGCATCGGGCTCTGTGCTGACACAGCTCAGAGCCTGGAGCCTGCTTCGGATTCTGTGTCTCCCTCTCTCTCTGCACCTCCACCCCTCCCCACCCCCGCCTCGCTTATGCTCTGTCTCTCTCTCTCTCTGTCTCTCTCTCTCTCTCAAAAATAAATACACACTTAAAAAATTTTTAAAGAATAAAGTGTTAGCCATAACTGAGTCGTTGGAGTTACATGAGATCCTTCACTTTCTGGTATGCCTCCAGATACGATATAACCTTCCGCTATTGAACTGCCAGCCCCAAGCAAAAGTTCACCTATCTATGCTCTGTTAATTGCTTTTTTCCCCTTATCCATCCTTTGAGCTTATCTTCCATGAGACACTAAAATAACTGAATAAATAATCGCGACTATTTCTGTGGTTGGGACAGCACCCTAGCATATCCTTTGCACATTCTTGGTAATTTTAAAATAATGTTTAACTGATAACTGTTCGTGCATTCAGTCATCCAACAAGTAATTGTTGAGTGCTTACTATGTGCCAGACACTATTTTATTAAGATTCCTGTTCCCATCGATTGATATTATAATGGGGGACACATTATAATGTCAATAGAACACAGTGAAATTTAATTTAAGACAGCAAAAAGGGTTCTAAAGACACCATACAATGGTAAAGTGATAGAGAATGCCAGGGTTCTGGGTATGTGGGAGCTGGTGTTCATCTTCATGGACCCAGAAGAGTTCATCTTTCTGAGGAGACATTAGAAGAAGTGGAGAGGGGGGACACATGAGTGGTTCAGTCAGTTGAGCATCCAACTCTTGATTTCAGCCCAAGTCGTGATCCCAGGGTCATGGGATTGAACCCCCGAGTCAGGCTCTTCACTGAGTATGGAACCTGCTTAAGATTCTCATTCTCTCTCTCTCTCTCTGTCTCTCAACAAATGTTAAAATAAAAAAGAAGTAGAGAGGGTACAGAACAAGGTAGAAAAAGGAGGCCCGGGCTAGGTCACTTAGGGCTTTGCAGGCAAAGGGGAAAGATCCAAATTCTATCCTGGTTTTGATAGGATGCCATTGAAGGGTTTAAAACAGGAGAAGGACATGACTTGATTTCCACTACAGAAGGAACACCACAGTGGGGAGTGGGTAAAAAGCTTCTGGCTTTGAGTGTCGTGAATGGACACCAGGCAATGATGAGTGGAGGCGGAGAGACCAGTCTAGAAGAAATAATTACAGTACTCCTGGCAAGAGAGGATGCTAAATTGGTAGTGGTGAAGGTGGAGTGGTGTAGCGAGAGACAACGTGACTTCCTGATTGAGCGGATTGGGGGGCGAGTGACGGAAAGAGAGAAATCAGGGTTGATTTCTAGAGCGTTGGCCTTAGCAGTTGGGTGAATGACGTTGCCTTTCACTGAGATGGGGACCACGGGAAGAGGAGCTGGTATATGGAGAGAAATCATGATAGCACCCCAAATGGAATACAAGCTGAGTCTCAGTAAGCCGTTTGGGGTAAGGGGAAAATAAACCTCCTTACCCCAAGCTCTCTGATGTCATGTTTTATAATACTGGACCCTAGTGACGATTTCTAGTGACAACACAGCCGAACTGCGCTACAGTTAGCCAAGTAAGTTTATTGCCTGAATAATTTCCAGAGTATGAAGAAGACGCCCTCCCACGTTTGCTCATTGTGCTCTTGTTTCTTCCTGAGCAGATCTGCCAAGCAGCTTGCCACTCTCTTTGTGAACCTGTGTGTCACTGCGGAGACCCACGAGGTCTCTGCTCTCTGGTTCCTGTGGTATGTGAAGCAGTGTGGGGGCACGACCAGGATCATCTCAACAACCAATGGAGGGCAGGTACCCATCCACTCCCCCACCATTCCAGCAGAAAACCACCACGCCTAAATAAAAGATTGATATCATGAATGGATGGTATTCACGATGGATGAAGCAGGAGGCAGGCTCGCAGACGTTGGAACTTCACGATGGCAGCTCCGAGTGGCTTTGGTTAAGGGACAGCCTGTTCAGTACGCAGCGTGAGAGCCCAGCAGCCAATGTGGTTTTAAGTTTAGGCTTACCTTTCTACATGTTTTTGCAGTCAGAAATGCACTTTCAATCTCAAACACACATACCACACAAAATTCATTCACTCATGCCTTCATTCATTCATTCATTCATTCATTCATTCATTCATTCATTCCTTGCTTCCTGAGCCCCAGCATTGTGTGAAGCCCTGTGCTAGGCCCAGTAGGAAGTGAATTAGAGACCTTACATAATCTGCTTGGTGGTCAATTTCCTTCTTTCCCCTTCCTCATTCTCCCCACCCCCCCCTCCGCCGCTTCCCCTCCTCCCCCTCCTTCTTCTCTGACTCCATTTCCTCTATCGCTTTGTCCCTCTCCTTTTCCTTCGTCTCAGACCTATTTGAAATAATCTTTTAAAAACTCAACTGAACCGCAAACCATAAGACACTCTTAGACGCAGAGAACAAACTGAGGGTTGCTGGAGGGGCTGTGGGTGGGGGGATGGGCTAAATGGGTGAGGGGTACTGACGAGGGCACTTGTTGGGATGAGCACTGGGTGTTGTATGTCAGTGGTGAGTCACTCAATGCTACTCCCGACTGAGATCATTATTACACTCTATGTTAACTAACTTGGATTTAGATAAAATTTTAAACAAATGACTGAACTGAAAATTTAGGAGAAAGCAGTCAGCTCAACCGTGCGCACAGCCACGCAGAACATTCAGAAGCAACAGGCACCTGACCCAGGATGAGATCGGTAGCCTGCAACAGAGAGTCAGGTGGCCTGGGGGTAGCTGGGCCAGGGAGGTTCTCAGCCTGAGAAGCAAGGAAGGGAAAAACAGGCTTAAGTGCGCTCAGGCAAGCAGTGGCCCAGCTGCGACTGGAACTTCACCAGACCTGGCCACCCAACAGAACGATGCAGGTGGGACACGAGGCAGGGGCAGCGGCCGGGCAGGTGGGTACATGGGGGCCAGGCTGAGGATGTCCAGCAGAGGGTGAAGCCTGGGAATCCACAAAAAACAGTCACCTTGTTAGAAGGCTGGTAATTTTGTCCAAAGCCGGCAATCACTAGTTAGAAAACAATGACCAAAGACGCTGTTGGCGGGGGGCGCCTGGGTGGCTCAGTCAGTTGAGTGTCCGACTTCAGCTCAGGTCATGATGTCGCGATTCATGAGTTGGAGCCCCACGTTCATGAGTTGGAGCCTGCTTCTGATTCTGGTTCTCCCTTTCTCTCCGCCCCTCCCCTGCTCATGCGCGCGCTCTCTCTCCCTCTCTCTCTGTCTCTCTGCCTCTCTCTCAAAAATCAATAAACATTGGGGTGCCTGGGTGGCTCAGTTGGTTAAGCGTCCGACTTCG